AAACTCAAAATCTTGAGTAATGAAAGTAAGATCAACTCAATGGTTTCGGGTTTATTAATACAAACCTCGTGGAACAAAACAAGGATCATGACGGCCACGTGCAATCATTTCGGTTTCTTTCTTATCTCGGGTTACAGTATTCTGCTTCCTCTGCATATTGGAAAGAGAAACATTATTAATGTGTTGGATGATGATCTCAAGACTTAATTATCTTCATATGGAAACTGCATGGGTTTTTAATCACAAACTTACTCCAGTTGTAGATGTTGGCTTGAAGGCTATTCTCATGTTTATTATCTCACCATTCGATATCCCTCCCTACGCAAATGACCGATATCAGCAATCTCTCAGGAGACGAGTAGTTCATTGACAAATTAAACACAAGATTTTAACAAACCTGAATTCCACCAGATCGGTTTGTTCTAGTCCGTACTCTTCCATTTTCATCGGTATAGAACTCGTCATTGTGTTCAAGACCAGTCATAAACGTACCTACATGTTCATCACATATGATTTTTACTGCTCAAGAGGAGTTTTAAATTAGTTAAAGAAGAGCAAATTATAACTTTCTATACCTGCGAAGCCGCTTCCAAACTCAAAGCCCTTTGTTGCAGGTAAGGACATACAAGCTTTTGCCAGTTCTTCCCCCAGTTTATCGAAAACAGGTGTACCAAGCCCCTGCCCAAGGTAGTTTCAACAATCATTCGCATGCAATCAAACTTCAGAAAAACACACATATTAAACTATTTTCATGGTACAGTGAATTCATACACGTTACAACACCGCCAACAGAGTTCCCTTTTGTCCTGACAGCATCAATTGCAGCTATCATCTTTTCTGCATACTCGGGATTAGGGCATCTGACAATGTTACTTTCTATCTGGAAGACGAACAAAAGGAGGTAAGAATGTTACCAGAAGAATCTTAACAAGAAGTGGCAACACTTAGTGATTAGAAAAAAAGATTATAACGGCGGATGAAAGTTGCAGCAAATTCACAGCAAGAATCAGGTCACTAAAACGGTACAAATATGGAATATACTCACGAAACAAAATGAAGGCTATACTTTCAAAAAGGATGTGCACCTGTTTGAGTTTCAAATTCTCGTGGTCCACCAATTCCTCTGGAAGTACAACCTGGTGGACTTGTGAGACATAGGCAAGAATCTGGAGGCATTTAAAAAAAAAACAGACACAAACTTAAGTAAGTTGAAAGAGTTGCATGAATCTGTAGAAAATTGGGTTAATGAGTCAAATTACTAAGGGTCGTCTTCTTTGGAGGGATATACTAAGATGAGATGAAAGAACAAACCAAACGTAAAAACCAGAAAGTAAACCCACCTCAGTCCCTGCATATTGCTTCAAAATTTTCTTGGCCAAAGCACCAGGAGCAACTCTTCCAATGGTCTCTCTAGCTGAAGATCTCCCACCACCCTTAAAAAGAATCACACTTAGAGTAAGCGAAGATGCACGCTGCTTTTGGACTACATAAAAACCCTACCAAGAAATGTAACGTATAAACAAGTTAAACCGAATAAAGCAAGCAGTTACCTGTACTGATCTGACACCATACTTCATGTCATAAGTTGCATCAGCATGCGATGGCCTATAGGCTACCGACATTTCACTGTAATCCTGAAAAATCAGTGAGTCTATCAAAGGTCACAATTCACAGAAAATCTCCAAGCTTTCTCTTCGATTCTGATTAAGGCACTAACATAATATAAAAATTGTTGTCTTTCATGATGCCAATAGCAAACATCTACATTTAACAGCATTGAGTGTTATACGCATATAGATGCCAAAAACTTACAAGTCCTCTCTGATCTGTGTTTGGCACAACCACATGGATGGATGTTCCTGTCGTCATTCCTGCATTTTATGGATGTCAACAGTTGAAAAAAGGTCGAGAAACTAAATCCTATTCAAATTGTGAAAAATAACTATATGTAGTAGACCTTCGGAGACCCCAGAAGATATCCGGCAAGTACCAGCCTCTTTTCTAGGAGTCGTGATCCGGCTCTGACCAGGTCTCCTGATAAAGCCAACAAACACATGTTAATCCATAAAGGATCATATTCAGAAATGTGGAATGCGCAAAAAATAAGACCTTTCTTCCTTATAATACCTCCGATCAAGATTGAATTGCATATCGGATTCAGAGAGTGGAATCCGAGGAGGACATCCATCAATTATACAACCAACTCCTCCTCCATGTGATTCACCAAAAGTAGTAACTCGAAAATGAGTCCCATATGAGCTTCCAGTGGCTTGTATCTCTGCAAATCAACACACCCAAAAATCCAAAAGAATACTCATAAAG